TATTGTGAGCGAAGAGTCTACTGGTTACCATAATGGCTATATGCGGTTATAGATACTGGTTTATGATAGATAACATTTTTATCTTCGTTTTTATCAATCTAATTTGTGACTATTTTTTTTTTTACTATTAAAATTATCTATTAATTTGCATCTGAATAATATTTTTTAACGAATTTGTTAGACCGCCAGGCGACTGATTGTCGGTGAATTGCGTTTTTGCCGTTTTCATTATCACCTATGATTCTACCACACCTTAATTTAATGTAACTACTTTGGTAACTTGTATGCTCTTCAATCACACGTGAACACATTGTAAGTCCCATTCATGATTAAAGATATACTGGTTGCCCAACGAGCTATGCAATTGTGACTACATTATTACTCAGATGTTAAAACAAATCTGTAGCGTTCATAGACCGCAGTGGAATATTTATGTACTATATTATATCGCTATCGCAGTTCATAAAATATGTAAATATGTTTGTGAATTTGAAATTTTAAATCATTAGTGATTACGATTTGCTTTTTTAAATTATTATATTTTATTCAAAACAATCATTACTATTGGTGATGTAGGTATATGTAATCTCAAGGAACTCGGACTTAATTGGAACTGCGCATACACTAAGGTTTGGACGGTTTAAACAATTTTGAAATTTTTTTTTTTCGTCAGAATATCTAGCTTTATTATTAGAAAATTTAAAAAAATACAATTTTCTGTGATTAATATAAAATAATAAACCAAATAATATAATTACTATATTTGCTGATTTCTTGTCTAGATATCCATGTGTTTAAAATGGTATTGACATATTTTAGAGTTTTCTCCTAATGTAACACTTTAGGTATAACATTTTCTTCCATTCAACTTTTAAAGGAATTTTTTTTTGGTACCCCAAACGTACTGGTTTTTAAATCTTTATTAGAGCAAACAGATAAACAACACAATATGATTTTTCATGTAAAACACAATACCTATTATAATTTAAAAATATTTTTGTACTTGTATAAATATTATTGTTTATAACACAATAAAAATAATAATTAGATACATCCTAGGTTCGCATAATATGGTTGTATCTTTAGTCGTGATCGTAATGGTTGTGTGCTTTAAACTAGGCGGGAATATAATAATTTCACATAATATTGTAATATAACTTTATTTTCACAGACAGATAGCGCACTAAGTTAATTAAGCAGCTGTTCCTGAAAGCAATTTTAATTTTCATGTGATAAAGCTTGTAACATAGTCCGTTGAACAACCAATATATCATCTTTAATCATGGTCCCATTCCTGTATATATTATCTATGAATAGCCCACTGGTATAGGCAAAAGAAAAACACATAAATTAATAGCACAGCGTGTCAATAGATAGCTTCCACAGTTGCAATTTCCACAAATAATTGTTTTAAAAACTAAATATACAGGGTATTTTATTACGTGCACGGGAATGTCTATCGTCATCCAACTGTTAAAACCAGATTAAACTAAAAATACCTTAACTGCGATATGAAGTAATGGAGTGAGGAATGTACCTATTGGTTTTACTATGATTTTATTTTTTTTTCTGTGAACAACTTCTCTACTAGAAATCTTCCTCTAATTTTTAAGCATAGCCCTTTTTCTAAAAGGAAATCTGAGTGAGGTGGTACTTTAGGGAGGTTATTTTTTGATTTTAAAAACAAATTAGGTTAAATCTATTATTTTAATGCTTAACAAGGAAAGGGTTAACGTAATTTTTGTTCGGTTGGTATTCTGCGGATAAAATTGTTAGACAAAACATAAATACTAGAAAATTTAACAAGAAGTTCATTTAATTAAGCGATCAAAAAAAAAAATTGAGTTTAATGTAGAATTTTTTTTTAAGAATTTTAATGTCAAATTTTGATGAAAATCATAAATATTACAAAGTAACACTAGTAACTGAGAATTGTTTTTGTTTAGCAATGGCCAATCGTTGCGTACAGATAAACATTAAATTTCCCCTCTATCTTCCTAACTTAGCAACTTCTCAATAGTGGCTCGGATCTTTTTTTTGACGCTGAATAGAATGGTGCAATCAAATTTTTACTATCGTTCTTAATTTTCATGTTGAAATTGATCTCCGATCCAAGCTAAGATCCATATAATGGTGTATAGACAATCTCGGATTATGGATTATCTCCCGAGCCACCAGACTACCAGTTCCTCAGTTTTTGCCACTGTATATTCTTTATGTATGCATTTAACCAATAACTTTGCACTTTGATACCTACCTATTTTAATAATTTTTCGTTTTTTAATGAAGATTTATTGATTATATGATTATTCGTATTATTGTATACTGTATAGTAAAAACTACTAGTAACTGGTTATGTATTTAAATAATACTTTTGAATTTTGAACTGAGATAATAATAATAATAATCTCCAACAACAATATATACAAGAAGTAGGTATACAATGTGTTGAATTATACAATGTTTTAAAATACTAAGAAAAATTAAAGTAGATAACTTAAGTTATAGAAATGATAAAAAAGTAATACATTGCATTATTTAAATCAAGAGAAATAAGTTAACATTTTAATTTTTTTTAAATTCATGAAATCATGAATATTAATTTTATGTTTAATACAAAAGTACATAAATAAAATATATGGTTCAGATTCAGATAAACAAACATTTAGAATACTCAAAGTATTTGAATATAGTTCAAGAATTTGAAAATTTGAGGCATAAAGGCAAAACCAATCTAATAGAATCATTAGCAATTGTTTTTTGTAGCTGTATAGGACTGTATAGTAGATGAAAAATGTCAATTTCATATTATTTTACTGTGACATCAATGAAACATATTCTGAAAGATCTTCTGAAAGTTGAAGTGATTGAAAAGTTAGCTAGTTAGTATTGGTGTATCAATAACTACAATTGTATGTGAGCATGGCATAAATAATATTGCTGCTTTAAAGGACTTAGGAATTTCTAAAGAAAAATCATACTTTAATTTAGGTGAAAATAAAATTATTTTTGTATTTGAAATATCTCATATAATTAAAAATGTCCATTACAACTTTAAAAGATGATTTTATTTACATAGGACAGAGAATAACATTTAACAATGATAAGTCGAGTTGAATTAATAGAGCATTGTTGAAGATTACAAATAATCATATATCCTCAGGCCTTTTCAAAAAAGTCATGCAAATTAACATTACAAGTAGCAGCAACTATAAATACATGTCTAACTACAGGGCAATTATTAAAAATGACAGCATCAGCTACTGCAGACTTTATTGAAGAAATCAATAGAATATTTAAATGTTTAAACGGCAACAAATTGTATACGTCAAACCCATACAAGTGTGCTATTTTAAAGAACACACTGAACAATTGCAGCTTTTATTCAATGCCAAACATTGGTGTGAACAACTTATGAAAATATTAAAGGAAAAGAAGACACAGCTTTCTTGCTTTGATGGTTTAATACAAACAATCAACGATATTAAAATACTTTATGAAAAATAAAAAGAATTAGGATGTGCATTTTTATTAACATCTCAATTAAACCAAGATTTTATAAAGAATTTATTTTCCATATTTAGGCAAAGAGTAGGCTTTAATAAAAATCCTACAAAAAAACAATTCATACAACTTTACTTATTAATTCAAAAGATAATTGTAACTGTTCCCAGACATTCCCAAAAATCTTTAAAGAACAATTTGAGATTGAGGTGAATGACTAAAAAAAAAAATTTAATTTAATTAAAAACATTGGGAGAAAGTAAAAACCATAATAAATATTTCCATGTATTGAAATAGAGAAATGGTATAGAAGTATAATTATTTAAATACCTAATTATATGTACATGTATATATTTTTAAAGGACAATTAATTTCATTGAAAATAACATTAAATTAATATTGTTAATTATTATTATTATTAACAATATTAATTATATTAAATACATAATGTAAAAAATAAAAATTTTATATTTCTCTATTAACAACTAGAATTATAAATGAGATATCTTTTAAATACAATTATGATGTCAACTTACTAAAGTTTTACTCAAGGTTACTCAAAGTGTTCTCAGTTTTGTTAAATTAGCAAATGTTAGCTGTGGTGTTAATACCAATTTAATTCCAGTTAGATCTTTTATTTTTAATTTTGTTAGATTTATCATTTTGCTCATAAAGTCTATGTTAATTTTGCAATTTGTTCTCCAATGATTTCTGAGAAATAATACAATTAAATCTTTAACTATATTTTTTAAGTGTAATAAGATCACATTCTTAGTATTACTTTATAAAAGTAGTATCTAATATTTCTAGTACAGGTTTGTTGTTTGAAGAGCTTTTAAATGTTTGGCTTTGAGTATCAATGAAGAGAAAGTATTCCAAAAATTATAATTAAACACATAATTGCATCAATTGAACAGCAAAGAGAAAGTGGTTTTAATGACTTATGGCTGGAAATTTCAACCAAGGCAAGGGAACTGAATATTAAGGAGCCAAATTATCAAAGACCTAACAAAACATCAAATAGATTTATTAAAAACAGTGAACAAAATTCACCTTCATCGGCTTTATCAGTTAAAGATAAATTTAAACTTATATATTATGAAATAATAGATGTTACTGTATTAGTACTTAGTGGTAAATTTCAACAAAATTTAATCGATCATTTATGTTTATTAGAGAAATTTGTTTAGGCTAAGACAGATATATCACCAATGTCAATGCCATTGAATTTTATGGAAGAGATTTTAACATTATTATTATGAGTCATCTAGAAAGAAAAATCAATAATTAGTTTCATATCACCATTAGGTATTGCACATTTAACTTATAAACACTAATGCATTACATGTGCTTGGTTCGCGTATGTTAGGTTATATTGATCACATAATTATTATGTTGATTTTTAGAATACGAGAATAGCCAGGGAGCTATTGATTTTATATAGCTGTTATTTTTTTTTTCTACACCGTGGACAGGTTTTTCCCTAGTAAATTTGCTTTGATGTTTAAGTGTACCACATTTTATGAAAGCTCAAGTTATCTAGATTGCCTTTTAAATAGGTCATTTTTTGATTTTTGACGCTATTTTTTAAATAAAAACACATAAGTGGGGAAAAACGTAAAAAAAACGTACAATTTCACGATTTCATTATATTTAAAAACACGGACGACGTTTTCTACCAGAAAAAATGATTTAATTGAAAAATCACAAAATACCTTTTTTGTTGCCTTTTTGATTTAATTTATTTGGGTAATATTGCCATAATTTTTTAGACACTTTTGAGCTTTTATGGAATTTTAATTTTTGAGTGTTTTTTGTGCTATAATTCGGTTATAAATACACGTAGAGACTTGAAATTCGATAATAATACTTATATTGGACTTACCTAGAAGTAGTGAAGTTTCTAATCATCGGAAAAATTTTTTGTTTTTTAACAAACGTTTTGAAATCAAATTTAAACGAAAATTGCAAAAAAAATTACGGCCCTTCAAATTATGTATTATCGAACTGCAATCGGAATCGTCTTTCGTCAAGCAATGGTTTATGGTTGCTTAAAAATATAAATTTAATAACCTCAACATTTTTGTAAGACCAATATATTCTTCGCTCCACTCAAAATTTAAAAGAATAGGCAAATGCATTGAAGGGTGAATAATATTATAATAACAAAGAACAGTATATTATAATGTATTAAGATATAAATATATTATATATAACTTTTATTTCAGTTTTTTTTCTTGCTTGTTTTGCTGTTTTTTTTTTTATCACATCTGTATAATTCAAACTTTATAAGAATAGCTTCTATGTTTAGAACTGCAAGCTATTAAGTCTTTTTGAAGACATAGATGATCTTAAATAATTTTTATTCAACAAGAGTAGAAAAATATTTTTCAGTCGAACAGTTGGAGGCCAAATTACATAGGAACTGTGTGTTATTTGGGCAATGCTCCTAAATTTTGAGAATGTAAGATATAGAGGAGAAATTAATTTGTATCTATAAGCAACAATAAACCATTGTTTACTAAAAACGATTCTGAGCGGAGTTCAGTTGATAGTGATGCTTTGTCAACAATATGTATGTCATATTATGATAAAATAATTAAATAGATATTATTATGTATTTTCTTTAATAATATTTGTTTAATATCTTACGGTTTTCCCATGTTTGTTTCTGATTTTTCATATTTATTGAGAAAATTCCTGGGAAAATCGAAAGTGACGTCTCCAACGGACCTTCCCAGTCAGATTTCCTTTCAGAAGTTCGGGTTGGAGGACAGTGGTGGTGTATTATTTATTTGCCGCGTGCCGTATCGCCACACAAATGACACTCTTCTACTCTCCTTCAAACCAAACTTAAAAGTGGAATATCTCGTTAACGAATTAACAGGAATCAAAAACTTGAACACCAACATTTATTTGAACTAATACTTCATCTATTTATGTAATTTTTAATATAGGTTGCTATTTGAAAATAAAAAGATAGTGGCTTTATCCCCCTCTCCTCCCAAAAAAAACATAAATATAAACTTGTAGAGCAGCTTATTTTTTTAATATTCTAGAAAAAAAATTCCAAAAAATGTTAACACTTTCCGAGATAATGAGTATCTTATGATTGATTGATCACCCCGTATACAAAATATATGAGTTATTCGTATAAATTATAATTTTTCCGAAAACTTTTTCATAGTCACCGTGAAAAATTGTTGTTTTTAATAAAATTATAAATATTATATTAAATTCGATTTATTTTATGAACCACTGCTTTATTCAATATGGGAGATAATTAGTGCGAACATTTTTAGGAGGCAACTTGTATATAATTATGAACTATCTAATCGTCGGAGACGACTAGTGTATATTAACCTTTTTATTTATAATAAATATGGGAGGCAATTCGTACATTTTGGGAGGGGACTAGTATGCACCATACGTATTATATTATATTATAACCACATTATTAAAAGAAATACGAAAAATAAAAGGCTAAACATGATAGGTAATTAGGATACTTTTAACCAAATATTTTATTATGAAGGACGTTCAGTGTCATAATTTGGTCTATCCGGGGGAAAAGTGTAGTGGTCAATTTTGACAATTTAATAGAAAGGGACTAGACGCTTATTTTCAGGGGGTAGGTATAGGGTTTAAAACAGAAAATAAAAAAAGCTGATATTGGTGACTGGTGTGTCACTGTTGTAGATGGCAAGTAACCAATTAGATGTATAATGCAACGAAAAACTCTCTTGTCATTTTAATACTACTAGAGAAATATATCTGATAGAAAATAAAGTTTAGAAAGATAGTTTGAAATGAAAACAATAGAATCGGTTACGCCACCGTAAATTATAATAATTTTACCTAAATTGTATTTCCGATTATTTCCAATTATTTTGAAAAACCATTGAAAAATAAAAAACTAACCCGTTTAATGTATCAACTATAGAAAATTTCCTTTCAGAAAAGGTGCTACACTTAATAAATCAAAGTAAGATTACTTTTTGAAAAGTTGTTTACAGACAAAAAAAAATACATCCTAGGATAATGGGGTGCAGCCACTGTGATAGGTAATTTAATGTATAGCTGTAAGCAACGATAAACCAATCCTTACGAAAAAACGATTCTGAGTTGAATTCGGTTGATAGTGATGCTTTGTCAACAATATATACCGGGTGATTCATTTAAGTGGGTACATTCATTATCTCGGAAAATATTAACTTTTTCCGGAATTTGTTTTCTAGAAAATTTAAGAAACATATAAGTTTTTAAGTTTAGGTTGGAGTATCATTTATGTGGCTGTACGGCGCGCGGCGTGTTAATTATGCATCACTTTTCTCTTCCAACTTAAATTTAAAAGTGAAATAACTCGTGGCTTGACAGAAATCAAAAATTTCAATACACTTATTTATTTTAACTAATACTCCATCTATTTATGGATATTTTAATATAGGTTGCTATTTGAAAATCATAAGTAGGTAGAGGTTTTAACCTCCCAAAAAAGGGTGAAATAAAAAACAAAATTATAAAGTTGTAGGGCAGCTTGTTTCTTAAATGTTCTAGAAAACAAATTCAGGAAAAAGTTTATACTTTCCGAGATAATGAGTGTACCCACTTCAATGAGTCACCAGTCATTTTATAGTAAAAAAATTAGGCTTTATATATTTTCTTTTTTAATATTTGTTTAATGTTGTACCGATTTTCCCAGTCTTCCTAAGTTTTTCCAGGTTTTCCCATGTTTTATCCCGGTTTTTCACATTTTCTGGGAAGACTTTAGGGAAAATTGAAAAATAAACGCTCTAAAGTACCACCCAAGTAAACAAATTTTTCAAAAAAATTGCTATAATTATTAATTGGAGTAAAATTGCTGGTAGAAAAGTTGTTCACAGGAAAATAGAAGGCCGTAATATATTTTAACTAATACCTATATTTCTTATATTTTTTTCATTTTCCAATGTTTTATCCCATTTTTTCATGTTTTTTAAAAAACTCTTTAGAAAATCGAAAGACCTCCTTAAAGTACCACGCCAAGAAAATTTTCTTTCAGAAAATTGCCTGCATCGTATTCATCAGAGTAAGATTTTTGGTATAAAAAGTGTTCATATAAAAAAAATCAATACCTTTTTAAAACCAATATGTTATTCTTCACTACACTCAGAATCTAAAATTCAAACAATTCAAACTTATTTTCGTTTGTTTATTTGGGACTCAACATTATAAATTCCGTATTTCCGGCGTGTAGACAAACAAAATCACGCAAGGAAAAACTTGACTAGTTATAAAATATATTTCCTACTATGCAGCCATGCAGATAATAACTATTATAGGTATAAATAATACACGTATAAAGATTCTTTATACGTGTATTATTTATTAAAGAACAATCGAGGCGTAATTATTTTGTCATGATTATTTTCTAGCTATCCGAATATAATGTTAAAAACCGTTTACATTGAATAGGCATTATTATAACAATAATAATAATAATATTTATGTTTGAAGGGCCAAATTATAATACGGTTGACAGGCCCGTCCAAGTTTGCTGATCAGCGGACCGGCCCAGTCCACCCCTTTTAGATAATGATATTGGATTGGGAAATAAATTATTACAAAATAAAAAAAAAGGTAGTTAATGTAAAATGTTCTTTTTATGGTTTAATAAGTAATTGTTTTCAACCTTTTCTCTATAATTATATTAATAGTATTGATAAGTAGGTATTGAACTTAAGAGAATGTATAAATAATATGATTAAAATTTCTAAGAATATTTAAGTATTAAATATTAAGTGTTAAGTGTTCACAAATAAAAATAATAATAATTATTCAATTTTAAAGATATGTAAAATACCAAAACGTGTTCATTTGTCACTGTTAAGTACAACTATATGAATTATAACTGTGTTATACTAAACATTATTATCTACATAATCAATGTACCTACTACCATTGATTATAGAATATTCTATAATCAATGTTACTACATAACGTTCTTATTATTAAACTTAATTATTTATGCATCTAATGCACTACAATATTTATGCATCAAACCTACTTCTATTTACTAGTTTTTATTCTACTTATTATTTATTTATGTTATTTATTCTACTACTACTTCTATTTAGTGCTTTTTTTTTTTTTTTAAGGGTTATGCTTAATGGTTATTAATCTTCAGAAAATTTTGGAATTTATTTTAAAAAGAAAATTTTTATTACATCTTGGATTCCGATTTCCGATACATTTCGGCCCTAGTATCCTCATATTTTTGCAACGTATAAGTGATGAAGCGCATTAACTCTTGTTTATCTCTCATATTACGATCCTCAAAGTAATTGAAATCACCCATCATAACGAAATTTCTATCGAATGATACAAAGGTTTCGAATCTAAATGCTGACTCGTTGGTAGGTTGATCTCTTGGCTGCCACCAGGTACGTTGTTCTCTTGGCTGCCAGCTGGTAGATTGTTCTCTTGGCGGCCAGCTGGTAGTTTGTTCTCTTGGCGGCCAACTAAAATATTGTTCTCTTGGCGGCCAGCTGATATGTTGTTCTCTTGGCGGCCAGCTAAAATATTGTTCTCTTGGCGGCCAGCTGGTAGGTTGTTCTCTTGTTTGCCAGCTGGTAGGTTGTTCTCTTGCCTGCCAACTGGTAGAATTTTCTCTTGGCCGCCAGCTGGTAGGTTGTTTTTTCGGCTGACGGCTGGCGACTGTTGAAATAATATTTATAAAATAAATCACAAACATTTTTAAAAATACTATTATAAATTGTTATAAGTTAAATGTATAATTTTATTGCTAAACTGAATGATAACGATACACATAATGTCTAAATGTCAGTTATTCCTATAGTGTATCATATTATAATTATTTTATTTCGTATTATATTATTAAAAACTCTCTATTTGTGATATGGGCGACAACCAATGCAGGAAACTTAAACTTAACAAAACTTAATCAAAAATTGTATTTCATCCATGCGTGTTGTAATTTCTAAGCACGTACAACAATAAATGGCTTAAATAAGTAAGGTCTTCTAGAATCTAGATGTTAGTTTCATAAATGAGTAAAAAGCGTTTCAACTGGCTATAGAAGCAGTAGAGTGAATCATTTGGTGGACTTAAGACACTTAAATGTTAGTCCGTTCCCTCTTTAATTTAAAAAATAGCTAAATAAATTATAGGTGTTTTGGGCATAGGCGTGTCTAGGGGGAGGCAGCGTAAGAATAATTATTAATACTATTTGGTAATCAATGTGTTTTAGTTGAGTTAAATTAACTAATCACAAAATTACATGTGACATAACTTTGTAAAAACAACCAGTTACAACAATTAATAATGAAAAAATACAAAACTTTAGATTACAAAACTAGTCTAATTAATGTATGATATAATAGATAAGATAATAGGTGGAAGCTGTGAAGAAGGAATTGAATGTGTATTGAAAAGGAGATTAATTAATTAATTTGTTAAGGCAGAGAGAACATTACGTTAAAGGGTAAGGGAAGGGCAATGAAAAAAAATGTGGGAAATGTATTAATCATAAATATAGTCTGGAGAATGGGAGAATTTATCTAATTATAAATTTAAATATTGTCTGTCTAACTATAAAAGTCTAGGCACGGCTATGGGATCGGCAACTCGGAAAGTACAATATATTTTAGGTGTCAAAAATAACAATAATTTCATATTTTATAGCTGGTTGTGTTATATACTGTCAAAAAAAAAAAATTCCTAAAAAAAAATAGTAATTTCCTAAATAATTCTGAAGGATAGGCGAACATTGAATAAGATGTATCATAATTATTGGATCTTGTATTCTGGTTGATTTTATTTAGTGTCATAATTTTCAAAGTAATTTAAACATATCCTTGTCAAGGATGTTTTTTTTTAAATTTGTATCAAATACAGTTTTTATAAAATCTCATTTCTACTTTTTGTCAATATAGAATTGTTTATAATGCATAAAAAACATATAATACAATTAAATAGTAGTTTAAAAATTATATTCTAACTTTACCGATTATGATTTTTTGTGACTTGCATCTAGTCGGATAATCGAGTTAGCATTTATAATTTATAAGTATTTTCATACTATATGATTATATAATTATTACATTTTTCATTAACAGACATCAGTTAACTAACAAATTACATTTTCACTATATTTCATTCAGAAACTTACATAGTTTCTATCTTATAACTTTATAGTTCAAAAATTATACATGTTTAGAATTATCTATTAGTATAAAAATTTGTTTAATACAAAGCTTACCAGTGGCATCGTAACTTTTCCTTTTCTCCACGTCGTTAATAATGGAGTACACTTGATTGATTACTTTAAATTTTTCCGTGGCAAACTTTTTTTCATTTTCTGGAACTTTGTCTGGATGATATTTTAATGACAACTCAAAATACGCTTTACGAACTAAACGAAACAAGTGTAATGTTTAAATAATTCGCAATACATAATAAAATTGTAATAATGAAAACGTAGTATACCTTCTTTGGCTGTACTTTTCGGATGCGTTTTTAACACCTTGTATAGATCTTCAGTGTTAAAATATTGGCGACAAAGCTCCAATAAAACATCCATGTTGTAGAATAAAAACTGAAAATAAAATTTTAATATTTAAGTTATTAAAAAACTGATATACTTTGCACTAGTGTAAGTAAAAAGTTAAGAAAGTAGAGGCGAATTTTAATGTATATCTGCACACAATGATTAACTATTGCTAACTAAAAACCATTCTAAGCAGATTTTGAAAAATTAAAATATTTACGATTTGAAAAAAATACAATTCATGCATTTTTCCATTTATTATGAAAACACCTAAATATTAAAATATTTTTTTCTAGAATTACCACCCCAGTTCAATTTTCTTTCAGAAAAGTGCTACACTTGAAAATCGAAACAAAATTTCTGGTAGAATAATTGTTTACAGAAAATAAAATAATCATCATTACAAAACCGATACATTTGCTCAGAATTTAAAATACAAACATTGAAAGTCCAATGATCCAAAATCCAAATATCTTCTTCCAATTAATGTTCCATCTTAAAAATAGGGGACTATTATGAAACCTCCAATTAATTCATACCATAAATTTGTTAGATGGAGACATATGGACCGATAGCTTAGCCGGCGCGCTCACCTGATTTGACGCCTCTAGATTTATTTTCTTTGGGGGCATTTAAAACCTGTAGTTTATGCTGAACCACCGATTAGTCTCCAGCATTTAAAACAAAAAATAACTAGAGCATGATGCGCACAACAGACAAACAAATACTCAAGATGAAGTCATACGACTTCATTCAGAAGCATGTTTACAACATAATGGACAAAATTTCGAACGATTTATTAGATAATGTTGACTAATGAGTATTTTTTGTAACAAATTGCTTAAAATAAAATAAATTTAATAATAATAAAATAAATTTGTCTCAACTTTAACTAGTTGTATTTTGGCTAATTTTCAATATAAGGGAAAAGTCCATTTACATAAGTCGCTTAAAAAAAATGGTTTATCTAAATCAAGTGTTGAAAATAGGTGTTTCCATTAAAAAAAAATGCAAGTTTTATTTCGCATGCGCATACCAAAAGGATGAAAAATTTGAAAATCCATACAAAATCTGTATTTCAGTATTTTCTATCTTCTCTTAAAAACTCCATTTTAATCTAAGATCACCGGACAGAAGTATTTCGTGTAACCATTCGAATGAAATGCACTGTATAATGGTATAACGGGATTTGAAGAAAATTTGCAATTAATAACTATAAAATAAAAAATTGCACTAACAAAATGTAAGAGTTTTGTTTGTAATCATTTAAATATATATATATATATACATGAGTACAAATAACTATTCAAATACTTTAAACAAATATTTATAGATAATTCTAAATATTATTCAAATTATTTATTAAATTTACCAAATATTATAAATCAACTTAACCGATTTTTATATTTTATTTTAATTTTATAGAGTATTCTAAACCGTATCATTTCAGGGAACTTAAAATACTTATATATTTTTTTTTGTCGATTTATTTGAATTTTCGTTTGATTATAATTAACAGTAAAAAAAAAAAAAATAATATTATATTCTCAATTTTTATTTTTACTTAATGTGAAAAAATTTGAAGAAAATTTGCTATGGAAAAATCATTATAAGTTTATATATATATATATATTTTTTTTTTAATATGCTTATTTATATTTAATATTTTAAGGCTTTTACCAAAGCTAATTTTATTTTATTGGTATTGGTATTGGTATTATTGGTATTATGTTGTACCTATAATTTAAAAGTTTATATTTTTCGTTTTGCCATTAAAGTTTGTGATTTAAAAATACTTATTTATTTTTTAAAAATGACACTTCAAAGTCATAAATCATTTTTATTTGTGCAATATATGTGCCAGTTTTATGTACATATTCGTAAAAATATATTATATATTGTAGTTATATAGTATTGTTTTGTGTTTAAAAAATTGTAAAATATATATATTTTAAAACTGTTTGACCTACCATCTAGCCTAAAACAACTAGTTAGTAAATAATTATTAAGTAAGTATTAAAATTAATTATTACAATTCTTCAACAATCACCCATATTTCTTAAGAATATACAAATAACAATTAAAAAATTACTCGGAAGTTATAACATTGTTCACCATATTCATAATATTAAAATAAAACCTTGAGGTATTTAAATATTTAAATAACTGAAATCAATATTAGTTATTTTTCTTTTTGAAAAATTAAAATACATGACTTATACTTTAATAAAATCAAACTTTAATCTTGAAATATGATTGGTCATCCAAGTCGTCAAATACATAATTTGACCAATTTGAGGTTATAACTCATTCTCGTAAAGTACTCAAGTAAATTTATTCCAATACTTTTTAACTAATTAATTACATATTTTAAATACTTTAGAAAAAAATACTTGAATAAAATAATTTAAATACTTTCTCAAAATATCTGTATTTAAAATGAAATACTTTTTTTCAAATGTATATTCTATTTATTTTATACAATACTTTATATTTTAATTTTTATCACGTAAAAATAAAAATTGACAATAAAATACTATATTTTTTTTCTATAAATTCTAATCAATCGAAAATTCAAATAAATTGACAAAGAAAATAGATAAGTATTTTTAAGTTCCCTGAAATAATATAGTTTAGAATACTCGAAAAAATTAACGTGAAACATAAAAATCGGATAAGTTTATTTATAATACATGGTAAAACAAAATATTTTATAAGTAATTTGAATAATATTTAGAATAATTTTTTTTTTTAATGATTACAAACAAAATTATTAAATATGTCAGTGCAATTTTTTGTTTTAGCATTAACTAAAAATTTTCTTTAAATCCCGGAATCTATTAAAGTATGTTGAGGGTTGGCCCCTCTAATACAAAAAATGTATTCTAGGAAAACTAAAGGTATATGCAAATTCTGAATGTTACATAGCATTATAGCAAATTAATTGCTAAATCATGCGCAAGTCTGGAGTATGTAGCTTGAAGTAGGGGGGGCAACTTCACGCACGTAAATATTACCTATACTTTTTTCGGTTGTCGAAGTAATAACTTAATTGACCACTGTTCAGTATTCGATCTTCTCCAATTTAATTGTTTCTATTGTTGATCCCGTCACTCCACGATTGAATAGTTTTAGTACCTATAAACGAAAGATGTACAATTAAAACTTGAACTAATATATTTTAACACAACGTAATGAAGGCACCTGACCGTGGTTGCGTGTGGACTACTGAAACAGTGGTATTTGCCAACAATCTTGATAACTAACAGAAATCTCTAACTGCGTTCATATGACCAATCCGTTTGGCAGTACAAGAAACACTAAACCCTGCTGCGGTGGAGAGTAGATACCGTCCCTTGAGCTACCTAAATCGATTTTTATTACCCATATTCTACGCGTGCGCTGCGGCCGTAGCTGCGCATTGTAAATATTACACCCAAGCAGGAGGGGTCAAATAAAAAAACATTGATTTTTATTTTAAACGTTAATATTCTACACAGTGGCTATGCATGAGTGTCGTACCAACATTGTCAGTTATATACAATTTATTGTAATTTTATTTATTTATTTATTTATTTTACACAATTTCATAATCAAACAAGATATAACTTAATAAACAGCACCAATAAAAAATATATAAATAAATCTAATAAAATACTAAAGCAAAATAGTATAGTTAAACGGCAAAATACAAATATTAACAACATTGTGAATAAATTGGAAACAAATAATTCCGAAAAAGTTTCGTTAGATAAATCTAATGCTATTGTTATTATTTACACTAATGAAATTCTTAAAAAAAAATTTAGAATTTATAAATAATAATAATATTCATAACTTAACATATGACCTATAACATATATGACATATATATATATATGACATATAACTATAATTTACACTAAACAAATTAACTAACTGATAACAAATTCGAAATAAATCATGCTTTAAGTCCAAAAGAAAATATTATTAAAATATGATTACAAAATAGAGGCTCCATAATATAACTAATATCCATTTATAAAATTGCATAGATAAGATAATCTGATTCGTCTATAAATTAACTTTAAAACATGTCCATCTTATAATCTTACTAGATATTTAGACTCTCTAATTAAAGAAAAATTAAACAATAATACTTATACTTCTATGAAAAATTCCTATGATTTTTTATGAAAAAATTAGTAAAATAATATTGAGCCAGATAACAAAATGATTTCTCTTGACGTAAAAAATATATATACATCTATTCCTAAACACGAAACAGTATATTTTTTAAAAATTAAACATATACATAGTAATAAATTCAATACAAACGAAATACAAGAAATTATTCAATCAATAAATGTAATTATAAATCAAAACTATTTCCAATATAATACTAAATTATATTTGCAAAAAGAACAGTTAGTTATCGGTACACTAAAAGTGCTCTTTTATCTGAAATTTACATGTGAAATTATGAAACCAATAAAATTATTAACAACAAAATATATAGTCCATATATAAAAACATTTAAGCATTTTATAAATATGTTGATAACACTTTTATTTTATTTAAAGGTTCAAATAGACATGCAGAAAATTTAGTTAACTATTTAAACAAAATAAATAAAAACATTCAAATTATACTCTAAGTACAAATAAATAATAAATTAACTTTCTTAGATCTAACAGTTTACATAATCAAAAAAAAAATTGATTTTAGTATTTACAGGAAAATTTCAACTTAAATACTATTAAAAAATTTAACATATTAAAAAAAAACATGAAACGCAACCCACCAAACTATTATAGTATGAAATATAAAAATAATATGTCTTACAAATTCGCTAAAATAAACAATAATACAAATAATGTAATAATTTATGTATACAAATAAAATTAATTAATTAATTAGTGCGTCACCCGGAGTACTATAATAAATGTATTATTAACCGGTTTCGAATTAAAAATTCATCATAAGGTATATCACAGTCAAAATGTAAAACACGACTAAATATAAAAATTATATGAAGGAATATAAGAAAAAAT